CAACTTGAAATAATTGTGAGTAAAAGGAGATACTCAAATTAAGAGTAAAACCCCGTATATATAGGCAAAATATAAAAATCATAGTAAGGGTAAAAAAGGGAAAAGAAATCCTAAAGGGAAAAGAAATCCTAATAAACCTAAGAAAGAGAAATCCTAATAAACCTAGACTATCTATACTCCAACAGTAACCATAGAAACAATGGAATCCACTATTTTTTTATTTATTTAGATTGATTTTTTTAATTGATTCTATTTTTGATACCTAGTAGAATATAATTTTTTATTCTTATTTCTAAGTGAAATGCCTAGATAAAGAAAAAAGCAAAATTTGTGGTCGGGAAAGTTATAGTAGTCAAAGCCATTGGAATTTTGATTTAATACATTGAAAAAATCCGTTTTGTTATTAATAGACTATGAAGGGGAAAAGAATAACCGAAAGAAAGAAAATCAATTAGTTATTCGTCAAAGTTTTATTTCATTTATTCAATGATCAAAATTAGATAGAGATATATAGCTCAGAGACTTGGAACAAAAATTCGTTTATTTACATCAAACTTTCGAAAGACTTATTCAAGACTTACTCGAACTATTACTCAACAAAAAAAAAAAAAGCTTTAGTTTCGACTCATCAATATAGGAATACGCAAAAGAGAAATTTTCTTTGTTTGTGGATCACTCGAATAAATGTAGTAATTTGCCAAAGAGGGTAGCGACTCGATTTTAACTTTATATAATTATTGATGTAAAAATATATGGTATTTCTGTGTTTAACTAAAAATTATATATTTTGTAGTAGAGCTCTTTGGGTAGTCAAATCATTGATAATCGTTGTAGAAAAAACATATTACTTTTTTTTCTTTATTATTTTTGATATTCTTAAATTTGTCAAATATATTAAAAAAAAAAAGAAAAGAAAATGATATAATGGGTTGGCCCTCTGGCCTTGGGTCAGGAGATATGTCCAATAGCTAGACTTGGGCTAGGCATATGTAGGCTAGAGCCGTGGCCCAGCTTGAATAGGAACAACCTGGTCATGAACTCACACTGGCCAAGCCTAATATAGGAGAGCCTAGCCCATGAACACCCGTAATCCATGAGAATTTTTTTTTTGTTTTAAACGGTCAAGAATGTCCAAATTAATTTATGTATATCTCGATTAATTTTTTCTAATTTACAA